ATTAATCCGCGCCGGGTTTAGTCCACGGTTTTCGGGGATTCCCGTTCTAAGCATCATTTGAAATGCTAATAGTTCCTGGGAATAGATCGCGCGAGTAATCCAGCCGCGAGATATTGGGCGCTCTGGGTGCCCGAGGCGTAAACAAGGGACCGTATTTTTTTTCTTTTGGAAAAGTAGCATCTCGAGGACGCGGTCGATCGGTGTCAATATCACGGCGAACGTCGTAAATTCGCCAGTGTGGTGACCGGCGCGAGCCTAATCGTTTCTCGCTACGGCGATTACCACACACTCCGGGCTCCCGGTTCGACAGCGGGAGGAGTCGACGTGTCGGCCGAGATCGGCGCCTCGCATAACCGTGGACATGCGAGCAGCACGCGTTGCGACAGACCGAGCGTGCAAAGCGGTAATAACGCGTGCGCGGTCAGACAGTCGGGCCAAACATTCGGTCCTTTCCCTGCCGAGACCAGCATTAACACTTGCGCGGTGCACACCGGGTGACCGCGAAGAATCGATCGGGGATAGCCGCGAGAACGTGCCGCCGCGGACACTGCGCAACGATTTATTCGTGCCGCGGACAACTATGCGTTCAGGTTCGCTGACGCGCGCGGTCGTGGAACTCGCGACACTTGTTCGAGGCTGCCGGTTGAGTTCGTTTGTCCAGAGAGAGATTGTCCGTTTTCTTGGATATAAAGTCGACGGGATCGGTGGAACTTCGAAACAGCGAACAGGATGATACGATTTCCGATCGGTCGACGCAACACGGTCCGCGCTGTTCGCGCGGAAACTTCTCCGCGCAGCCGGCGTATTTTAAGGTCCTTGCATCGTTTCGCGAACACGGATGCAACTTATGAAACGTCGCGAAATGATGAATATCATTAAACGAAGCGATAAGATAGGTTGCCTCGTTCGAGACGGATTTTATTTGGATTCGATCACGCGAATAAATTTTATGACCGGATTTTGTTGTTTCAAATTGCATTTCACGAGAAAATGTCTATTTTTAGCCATACAATGATAGTCAAGATAGTCGAAGAAAAAGTGCGCCGCCATTTACCTTTCCTTTTCTTCTCGCGTGCTTGATGTCGCGACAATAACACAGGTTTATTATCGGCGACTGTTCCGTGTTTAAATCATTGCAAGATATTTACCAAGGTTTATTATTTAACACGTTCCGTGCCGAGCTTTTTTTACTCGAATCTTCACACTTTGATATTTTACTAAAACTTGATGTATTACGTGCAATTATTAATTCTCGTACACATAACAACGTAACAAAAACTTATCAACGCCCATTCTTGCGGTGGAAATTGATTCTTCGGTTCTAAATTTCTTGTAAACAATTTGTTCAGTTCACTAAGTAAACATGCAAGCGTGTACCATCGATGGTACACGTGGCACGGAACGTGTTAAATGAGTTTTCCGAGGTGTTTTCCGTCGCGTCGACGAATTGAAAATGATTACCAGCATGCGTTCTTCGTTGCTAAGAGCTTTCTTCGAGTCTCTGCTGATACGTAGAACTTACTTCTTGCGTTTCTTGACGACGTCTCGAAGAATATACTGGACAGTTACGTCGAGCGTTACGTTACATTCGTGACGCTTGTTCGGTGTATCACGTGACATCAGATTATGATCTATTCACAAACGTCACGTCTATTGAATTTAGATAATGGAGTATCGTTCGTGGATTCCGTTGTTTCTCGTCGCTAAGATTTTTGTAGATGCACGGATTTTCCAGTAATCGCTCCATTGTTCGAGTGTTTTTCTCGTTAGAGAACTTTTGCAGTCCCTGTGCGAAGTCGACGTATTATTATTATTGGCGATTATTATTATTATTAATTATTATTATTATTGCGGTATTATTATTATTATATTTATAAATTATTTATATATAATATTATTTATTTATTTATATATATTTTATAATATTAATTATATATATAACTAGTACTTATATGTATAAACTAGTTATATATATAATTAATATTATAAAATATATATAAATAAATAAATAATATTATATACAAATAATATATAAATATAATAATAATAATACCGCAATAATAATATTATATATATACACTATATATATATATAATATATACTAGTTATATATATGTATAACTAGTTTATATTATATATATTTTATAATATTATTTTATTTATTTATATATAATATTTATATATTATTATTATTATTATTATTATTATTATTATTATTATTATTATTAATATTAGACACGAATGCA